GATAGGGGTTCCCATCCATGGTGCTCATGAGAAGCTACTTAGAGGAAGCCTTCCGGCTGGTTACTAATCCATAAGCCCTATTTCAAAGAGATCGAAAGATCAACCTCAATATAGATTCTAATAAATTTATCCCTCTCAAAGGATAGAGAGAATCAGCCTCAAGTGATCTGCGAACACATTTCAAATTAGGCCTCCATAGTGACAAATTAAGAAGCTCACATATAATGAACCAAGGTTCTTCAATAAGGATCTTAATAGCATCCTCTTGAGAATAAGAAACCTACCAAATCTTAGCCGCCATGGTCGGAGGCTCCGACAAGAAACATACCAAATCTTAGCCGTCTGAATGACCTTCAAAGTTAGGAGATGCCTCAAAAATTGACCACTTAGACTAAACTATAATGGATCGAGCTTAGACATATCCACATCAGATGGCATCGCTTTAATCTTCTCAAAGCGAGAAGCATCAAGGAATACACTTGATCTATTATCAAGCCACCAGCCAAGATTCTCGCCCAAGAAAGGAGAGGTGAGATGCCATCCTACACCACCATCTTAACGTAGATTGACCTACAGCACCAAGGGGTTCCTTGGTCATCGACATTGGAAGAGAGATCCCTAGAATTTTGAATGACTAATATTAACATAGTAAGATCTTGAATGATTCACCAATGAGGATGTGAAGAGAGTCAATATGTGCAGCCTTTCCCTTTCAAACAGAGATCGATTTGAGTTTTGGTCATTCGGACGAGGCAATTCGAAGCAGTGCTTCCAAGGCCAATCTCATAGAAGAAATGTCTGAATCTTTCTGCATGCTTCTGTTTCCCAACATTTAAGGTCAGAAACATTCGCTTAAGTAACACCACCAAGAACCCCTTTATTATATTACATCTCTTTGGCCTCATGCAGGCACCAATCACCTGAAGATCGAACTGTTCTGAGCTTAAACGTCCAAGTTAAACAAGCTGAGATCGATTACATGTAACAAGGTTTTAGCTGTGAAAGAAGATTTGGAAGCTCTGCTAAGCAAAGCTAGCAAGAAAGGGAGTGTAATGACTCATAATAGAATTGGATTTCTCTTCTCTTATACAACTTATTAATGACTGAGGAGCTTACAAAATATTGTTTATAATATCCTAGTCATATATATCTTGAGGAAAGGGAATCAAATTTTTGGAAGGGAGCGTTCCCCAATGATTTTGATTACTTTTGATGCTAAAGGTGATTGTTGTACTTGTGTTTTAAAATAATACAAATTTATTTTTAATTTTTGAGAAAAAAAAATAAATTAATTAATTAAACAAGCTGTAGAAGAAGAAGATGTCATAAGAGAATCACCATTTATAGCTATATATCAAAGGAGAATCACCATTTACTGCTCTTGTTGACTTCTTCTCTTGCCCTCCTCGGACACTGTTCCTCATTGGCTCTTATGGACAATCTGACTTGGTCCATTTCATGAGATGGTATAACAAGAAAGAGATGCATAGCAATCAATATCTCTTTGATTCCTGGAAACTACGTGAAGTGACGGCACCTTGGACTGGTTATTCCACGTTGGTGCAAGTGGATGCCCGCCCTGATATATAGAGCTTGAGAGGCCTCGTGCACCGGAGGAAATGCGAAGGGAAGGAAGAGAAGGAGAGAAGAAGAGAGGAGCAAAACTGAGGCAAGATGGTGAGAGCTCCCTGCTGTCAGAAGGTGGGTCTGAAGAAGGGGCCATGGAGTCCGGAAGAAGACCAGCTTCTAATGGATTACATCCAGAGAAATGGCCACGCAAATTGGCGAGCTCTGCCCAAGCAAGCTGGTAATCAGTAAGGTTCATCATGTCGTGTTGTACCAGTTGGAAGAGGAATCAAACGCGTTTCTGAATGGCTTCCTGACTTATTCCTCAGGACTGTTGAGGTGCGGGAAGAGTTGCAGACTGAGATGGACGAACTACCTGAGACCAGACATCAAACGAGGCAACTTCACCGAGGCGGAAGAAGACGCGATCATAGGCCTGCATAGGGAGCTCGGAAACAAGTATGGTCGAATCAAATCTTCCTTGAAATCAGGACTTTTTTCATGCATTTCGACATGAGAGCTTGTGATTCAACTTCTTGTCGGCAGGTGGTCTGCGATAGCTGCGAGGTTGCCAGGCCGAACCGACAACGAGATCAAGAACGTCTGGCACACCCACTTGAAGAAGAGAGCAAATCCGGAAGAAGCAACACAGGAATCAAAGAGAAAGATGAAGCGCAATGCCAAGGCCAGTTCTGAATCCGAACAAGAAGAGGACCTGCAACCGGCATCGCCGAAGGAAGAAGAAGACGGCTTTTCGTCGGAAAAGGTTGAAGGCATCGATGAGAGCTTCTGGTTGGAAGCATTGTCGATTGACGAATTCGCAGCAATGGAAGCCCCTTGTGCAGCTGCAGCCAGCAGCAACACTCTCAGTTTGTTCAGCTCGACCAACAGCTGTGACATGGAGTTCTGGTTAGATATCTTCGTCAGGGAAGCTGAGTTCTTAGAGAATTTGCCACCACAAATCAATCCTCCAGACATTCGAGTAGTCTAACATTTTTGTTTGCTTGTTTGTATTGTCTGCCAAAGATTGATTAAAGAGAGAGATTATTTGCAGAATGTCAATTCATTTCGCATCATCCTAGAGAAATCATCTACTAGATGAGCATTTAGAGAATAAATAAAGCATATATGATCACTACTCTGTCGTCACTATGCACTATAATTCAAAGAACAAATTCATCATGAAATATGAAAGTTGTTAGCTTATTTTTATGATGAAGTTTGACATTGGGATGCTGATCAAAAGTGTCCTGCTTTTGACTAACATATGCACACCAACTCCAGACTTAACTCCCACATGCAACAAAGTAAATATTTTCAAGATTTTAACACTCAAAGAATATTACTTGGAAATGAATATTACAACTTGCTCCTCCTTATTATTCAGATATGCAAATAATTGATGTTTATTTGGAACAATTTTACATCTTGTCTCATATGAGCAATTGAATGCTTCCAACTTTTCCAACTTTCAACAAAATGTGAACTCCAGCTTCGACAAAAACTAAAAAGAATACCCTTTTCCAGCCACCATGTGTGAATTCTTTAATTATTAATTTATTTTGGTCATTGTTGATAATGAGAATAGAAATCAAAAGTTGACCGATGTTTCCTTTCGCTTGTTTGTAGGTTTCTGGCTTTTTTTTTGTGTGTGCTTCAGATGAAAAAAATAAAATGGTATCTCACACCTGATCTTCTTTTCTGAACATATCTCATAAATCAAAATGTGAAATGGCTACTTCTGATTTTAATGTTCCATTTTGTTGGACAGAAATCTATTTACCTTTCACCTTTGCTACTAATTACGATGTTTTGACTAGGTAGAAAAGCATTAAGCATGTGTTTATTTCACTAAAAAAAAAAAAAAATCAAAAAAACTTTTCTTTGACTTTGAATAGAGGTTTATGATATTATATTTGTTATCAACCTTATATTTTTCATAATAAGATAAAACTCATATATATATAAATGATTTATAATTTCAGTCAGTACTAATGTACCGATTAAGCATCAATATAATACGTACCAAGACATACTTATGGTACACTTAAAATCATTGAAAATAATTTTTAAAATACTAAAAAATAAAAAAAAAATTAGATTAATATTTTTGAAGTTAAAAATAAATATGAATTTAGTATAATTTTAGTAAAAAAATAAATATAAATTAGGAAAGAATAGTGACACATGGAAAACTTTGTGGAATATTCTGAATCGTCCTTCCATTAATTTTGAATTATCTATAAAAAAAAATAATTTATATTATTATATTATTTTTAAAATAACTTAATCTTTAATATTCAAATAAATTAAGCACACAATCGATGAATATACTTGGTTCTACCACTAATAAGAATGATGACACTTCATGGTAAGTTGATCGAGATCCTCGATCCTATGTATCTATATATCAATATAAAATGTTTATCAAACTCAATCATAAAATTGATCCCATGACATAATATACTGATACATCGTATGTTATTGGTACAGCAATGTAGTGATGGTCATGGTATGATCATCATGAACCACATTTGTTCGATATTATTCTTAAGGTAAGGACGAATGTGGTATGTACTAGTGCAGTGCAGAGTATAAAGAATATTAAAACTTTTACTTTTATTATTGATTTGCTTCTCTATATTATAAGATCGATCATTATATTATTGCTCGAAAAGTATGATCAACTATCACTATATTGTTATTAGTCATATGATTATCCATAATATGACACTGTGAATATAATGAGCCTCACTTTTTATCTACGTTGTGTAAGCTCTATTACATATACTCAAAATCATCTACTATCTTTCTCTTTTCCTTTCATTTATAAACTTGATCAGTATCTCGTCGAGCTATATGATTTGAATATTGGGTGGTATGTATGAAAATACTACTCTTTAGTCCATGCGCCACTCTTAAATTGTGTAGGCGAGACCATCGACTCTCCGACGTCATCATCATCATTGGTCGAGATATTATTGTCCACGTCGCTACTTTATCTCTGGACTGAGCGGGTTATTGAATATGATTATGAAGGTGTTTCATTGCTCTGACTTGATTTTTTCCAATAGTGTAGCTGATACTACTATCTTTCCTTTTACCTTTGCTTTTGTATGCTAGGCGGACGATTGTGATGATCGAGTGTCTCTAGTTCCTAGAAACTTAATGTTGTCTTACTACTGATAGAAGGTTGGACAATTATGACAATATACATGCACGTATTCGTAGGTGTTTAACGATCAGCTCTGGTTTTTGTGATAGGTGGAAAATGAAAGTTGTCAAATCTTGTAATAAAGAAAGATATCATCATTGCTTTGATTACTGTTCTATTGGGCTGGCTTCAGTTGGATCCCTACAGGAGCGACAGGAAACATACCGAAACCAAGATGACGACCGACTAAGAAAAACCATTGGAGAGAAAACTATGTGTGAGATTCTAAGTTTTCTGGTCTTTTACATACTTTGGGAAGAACTGCACACAACCTGCATGATACAGATCGGAATCTTAGCAAGTACATGAAGATGTGCAAAGAAGAATGAACACGAGCAGCTCTATTAATCGATCCAACTGCACAACACTAAACTCCTCTCGCCAGCATCTCCCGGTATTCCTCGACCGACCTTTGCCTCTCCAGCTTCTTCTCCTCCTTAAACTTCCTTATGAACATCTCAGCCCGCAGATCCACCCCACCGATCTCCTCCACCACTCGTGAAGATGAAGCAGAAGCAGCTCCCACGAACAGGTGCGAACGATCGTTTGTGGTGGTGTTGTTCTTCGACGCCGCCATGGCCTCGTGGTTCGTCTCCTCACGCGCCTGCATGGGCTGGATGTAGGGCCTGTCCACGTACACCGGCGCGAAGTACCGGTGGTTGTGGTCGACGCAGGCTTGGCGGTAAGCCGTCCGAGTTCTCCGGCGGAGCATGGCGGTGAGGGACTTGGGACGCCTGATCTTGAACTGCTTGGTCCGGAATTTGGAGGCGAGTTTTCTCCAGGCCTTCTTGGTGGGTAATGGAAGTTGCCTGTTGAGGCCCAAGCAAGACATGTAATGGAAGGTGGCTGTGAGGGTGGAGGAGGAAGATGGGATCGGAGGTGGTGTGAGATCTTTATATATAGGCGCATCGAACCCTTATACTTTTGTCCTACTTGTGTTGTGATTTCCTCAATTCATGCCATTTTCAGATTAAAAGATTGAGGTGTTACTCCAAATTAATATATGAAAATTATGTAACTCCTTTTCAGGATATTATTATCTAGCATGATTTTTCTAGACATTTCTTGTAAACAAGAAAGGAATGATGTTGCGAAAAGTTGAATCTTTCTTTCGGCATCCTTTGTGTAAGACCTAAGCTAAGTGTTTGACTGCTGTAATGGAACAAGAAGTGGGGAGTAAATCCAACTACTGTTTGCATGAACTCAACTCGAGTTCATCACTAGAACGAAACCATTCATTCCCCTAATACCTACCTACCGAGACTGAGAAGAAGAAGAAGAAGAAGAAGAAGGAGAAAAAGGAAAAGATCATTCCCATCTGTATGTATCACTTGAAGAAGTTCTTCAAACTTGTGTGTCAAGAAGAAATTATTAGCACAAGTGGAAGAAAAGAATGAATCTGTTCTTGTCACACAAAACATGGCGTCGATCGAAGATAGGACAGGGAATGCTAAGTTTCTTTGCTTGCGGCAGCGAAGATTCGAATGTAGCTTGAAAGCTAAGCGGAATAAAGAGAACATGCATCGATTGTTTCTTCCTTGGTGTGGTCATTTAAGACACATACTTTGCTTTGATCCTTTGGTTGGTCCCAAAACACTTTTACAGCAACCTGCTGATAACAAAACCAAGCAAAGCATTTATGCTGTCAAATCTAATCTAATGGCCAGATTCTTAGCAGATTCTTAGTAATTATAATACTAAATCTTCTTAAAATTTCAACCATCATCCTACTGCTGTCTCCTTGAGTTCCAAATTATATCTTGGAATCTTGATCAAGAGATTAATTCATTCAAATTAGTGCTTCATCTCAAGCAAGTACTGTACTTGGTCTAAGTTTGTGTTTAAAATGTTAGAAAAATCAGAAATCTTCTTGTCTATTGAATTGAATGGGAAAAATTATTTTTTCTCTCGAGAGTTTCCTTCGTCTCAAACGAGTACTGTACTCGTCGAGTTTATGTTTAAAACATTAGAAAAAAAAAATCAGAGTTTCAATTTCTTGAGAGTTCCGATTTCGAATGTTGTTGGTAAATGGAAAAGAAAGAAAAAAAAAAAGACTTGTGGGGGCATTTAGTTACGAAATCCAAATTAATGTTGATGCCAAAATAATTAGTTGGATCCTAAGCTTTATATTATTACACTTAGTTTGAGATCATATAATTGTGATAAAGACACGTGGGATTATTTGAAAAAGGGTATATAATCAAGAAAATTATGCTACATGGTTTTCAACTTAAACTAGAGTTACCTAAATATTCTCAAAGAAATTTATCAATATAAGATTATTATTATTATGGTTTTATGAATCTATGAGTTGAATGAATACAAAGAATTGGTGCATGAAATTTTCCAATGAGATCATTTTCTTATGACATTGAGACGTGAATTTGAACATGTTGGTGCTTATCCGATGGCTACAACTCCTTCTCCATCTTTAGATATACGTTTTGCTAAAATAATTGTTTTTTTTTTTTTGTGAAGAATTGTGATGTATAACTCAAAAGTGTCATCTATAATAGTCAAGGATGTGGTCCACTGGGGGTGAGGTAGCTTTCCAACTCAAGCTCGAGATATGAGCAAAATACAATATTATAGTTCCAAAAAAAATAGGAGTATATAGCTAATCAATGTAAAAAATAAACTATATATATATATATATATAGCTTTCATGATAAGTAAGCTCTAATTCAACCAATACTAACTCAAATTGGCTTGAAATTATCTCAAGCAAGACCTTGACTCATCAACCACCTTATCTAGCGTATCCTTTTGGTACTTCGTCTAGACCTCTAGCACATTGTCTTATTCTTCTATATATCATTCGATTTTTTGACGTAATATATAATCCTTCTAATATGATATCAAAACCTCTAGTATGAAATATGTTCTTTGACACATCAACTAATCTCTCAATTCGATGTTTAATTTTTGATAAGATAATCTTCCGAGAAGACATCCAACTCTTTTACTCAATATTAAGCTATTTAGTAGTCTGATTCTATGAGTGAAGTATTTCTTATGTCACTTATCTTAAAAGCTCATTAGTTCATCAAATTTATCAATTGATTTCATCATTAAAATTTAGGCTCCAATAAATTTTTTTTTATGATGATAATTAATTGATGATAGGTTTTAATAAGATTTTTTCTATCTACATGCCATCTTGATAAAAAAAAATTTAAACTTAATAACAAGAAGAGAATATATCTTTTTAAAAGTTTATCTTAAATTCAAGTTTAACGAAGATCGATCTCATTGATATTAAGATTCAATCATTTGATATATCGTATATTTTATCGATATATTATTTTTTGTATGATATCTAATTTTTTAATATAATATTCGATCCTTTCGGTACGATGCTTAAACATTTAGCACAAAGTTCGTTCACCGATTAATCCTTCTGACTCAATATTCAATTTTTGATACGATATTTCTCAGCACAATTGATTATTCGATGATCTGATTTTATTATCAAAATATTTTATTTGTATCATTTATCATAAAGACATATTAATCTAATAAATTCATCGATTAATGTTATCGACAATCAAATGCGGCTGAGAGAAAAAAACTTCCCTACGAGTTTGGTATGTGCTACATATGTTGTAGCTGAGATGAAGTTGGATAGATGAATTGTGATGGGCTTTCCTCCACGGAGCCCTTCCTCGTTGCCTCCACCATCTTTCCTTTTCCCTTTGCCCTCATTAGCGGTGCCTTCTCCGCTTGCCCAGTTCTAGCACAGGCGGCGGCTAATGGCGCTCCCCTCTCGTCCTCTCGTCTATGCCCGCTTCTCTCCCCTCTCTAACTCCTATCCCTCCTTTTCTCTCTTCCTCCCTCCCTCTCCTCTCGGCCGTACATGTAGATCCCAGGATATTGCTTTTGGATTTGGGAGACACAGGAAGTCGAATCTCAGGCTTCTCGCTGGCAGCAGAAGTTGTCGCAATCCATGCCTCGTGGTTCTTCGTTCTTTCGCTGGCCACGAGGCGGAGAGGGGTTCCTGCAGCGTGAACGACGAAGGTGACGAGGAGGAGATAGAGGAGGACGTCGACCACGAGAAGCAAGTTGAAGATGAGGAGTCAGTGACTTCTGTCGCGGCCGAGAGATGGGATGTCTTAGGCCTCGGCCAGGCCATGGTATATACGTTTCTCCTTTCGTGCCCTTTCCAAGATTTCATGTTTTTTTTTCCCTCATTTAAACTATCTATTCCTTGATTATTATGTTTATTGATGAAAAGATCGTGTCTTTAGTCCCTTGAATTGATGCATCTGACCCTTCATGTTGGCTATTACATAATAAGAACAGGTTATAAGATTGTTTCTCCCTGAATGCTCATAAACCAGAAAGATCCTTTCTTAGTGTATTGTTGGAAGAGAAGAACATTCTCTGGCATGCAATTTGATATTTGTTAATATGTACTCACAACACATGTTTTCTATAACTAGAAATCTTTTCATTTTTGTCCGTGTCTTAGTTTTCTTATGTGCTCCTAACGATTCTAATTATGTTTGTCCGTTGATGTCCTTAGAGCTACTGGGACATATAACTCATTTAGCCTTGTTTGTAGGTCAATGTCAACTATCCAATTTTCGTACTCTTAATCAAGGTTTTTAATTTTGTACCATACCGCCCGACACAGGCGATACGTACCAGTACCAGTCCATCAGTAGACCGACACACGGACTGCCCACTACCATGCAGTATCAGGTTTTTGGCCTCGTATCGGACTATACGGGGCTGTACCGGGTGGTAACGGTCGAAATTTTGACCGTTACCGACCTGTACCGGGCGGTGCCATAGATTTCAGCTTTTGATGTTGATTGTTAGAATTTCTTGTTAAACCAGGATTTTTTGGTAGCAATTTGATGTAGAACAAGTGTTGATGGAGTCTCAAAGAGGATTACGGCAACTCATTGAATTGAAATCAAAGCATAAAGCTGCTAAATTCTAGAAACAGTACATAAAATTGTCTTAACAATGATTTCAGGAAGATAATATGATGCAAGTCATTTTTCAATACTTCAGATTTATAAATTTAAATATCATTTTCAGCTAAAACATGCAGGAATTATTGCGAGATAATTTTAAGGAAAAATCAGTTTATGATAGGATGAACCATAGATTTCAGCTTTTGATGTTGAGTCATTAGTTAACTATTTTCTAATGATTCCATTTTTTTATAAATTTAAATATCATTTTAAGCTAAAACATGCAACTCTTTTTTTTAAGGTATTTTTGGAGGGATTTATACCTATTTTAGGCGTACTGCTCGGTACGTCGGAACCATACCGTACCGAGCAAATCTTGGTACACCAGTATGGTATAAGATTAAAAACATTACTCCTAATACTATTTTATGCTGCATTTGTAAGAGCAAATTTGTTTCTCGTAATTGTTGCCTTTTCATTGTATTGGATTGTTTGTTGATTATATGTTTCGGAGTCTAGAATGTTATGTCCTCTCTGTTGTTGTTTTTACTCATTTATTTGCCTTTTAACTCTGTTAGGTAGACTTCTCCGGCATGGTTCATGATGAATTCTTAGAGAGATTGGGGTTAGAGAAAGGCACTAGGAAGGTTGTTAATCATGAGGAGAGGGGCAGGGTTTTGCGAGCTATGGATGGTTGCAGTTACAAGGCTGCTGCAGGAGGTTCTCTCTCTAATACACTTGTGGCTTTGGCAAGACTTGGTAGCCGGTTTGTGAGTGGTCCGAACTTGAATGTTGCCCTGGCAGGCAGTGTGGGCAGTGATCCACTGGGTGGGTTTTACAGGTAAGCTTCATGTAGTTTTAGTTATCAATGTCTGAGATAGTGCCACAGACCAAAAATTTTTCTCTGTTACTTGATCCAATCTTTTTACTTAATAATAGGAAATCACATTGGAATATGAGTTTAACATTCTGGAAGATAAATAGGCATGAAATTGCTTGTTTATGGTGTTCCTTTCCATTCATTTTGATGGAAACTGTGTGGAAGGAAGGACTTTCATCATGGTTATAGTCATTCATAGTGATCCTATTTATTCCCTGGTTTTGCTGTGGTTTGAGTATTGACTTTTGAGAGAGAATTTCAGGCAAGTAATTCCTTTTATTTATTTACCAATGATAAATGTAAATAAGGTAGTTTTTCTCACATTTTCTTTCAGAAAAAGAAAATTCTGTATATCATAGGCGTATTGTGGATGCAATTCCAGGAACAATAATTATTTACTTCTTTTTATTCAAGTTATTCTAAAATTTCAATTTATGCCTTTCTATTTTCTAGGTTTGAATTATCTGAATGCTTTTCATCTGCACCAATTAAGAATTTTATCAGTAAGTCTAGTTCTAAACAAATATCTTTTTGGGTTCCAAGTCCCTTTTTATAGACTTCATAGAATTACTGACTACTAAAAGTTGTCATTACAATTTTCTATATTGTTGCACTTTTTCTTTTGTGTTTCATTTTGTCACTATCCTCTGGTACAGTCTTCTGATACTCAGAGATCAACCTTAGTTTCCATTTTCGCATAAAATTTACAAATTTTCTGTTATTTATGGTGTAACCAATAAAGTTTTGTTATAAATTTTAGGGCAAAACTACGTCGTGCAAACGTTAATTTTCTTTCTAAACCTGTGAAGGATGGTACGACTGGCACAGTTATAGTTCTAACAACTCCAGATGCCCAACGTACTATGCTTGCATATCAGGTAAAGGCCTTGTTTAGTTCATATCTACAAGTCTTCATTTATATTTACATTTATAAAGCAGGGCAGAAAATAGGTCTTGGTTAGATGGTGTTAATTTCTTCCTCTTTCACTTTTGCTAAAGCTGACATAACAGGCTTCTATTTTGCATTTTTCCTAGTTTCCGATTATTGTCCATTAACTGTCATTACTGTTTGCCTTCTTTTACCAGGGAACATCATCGACCATTGATTATGATCAATACTTGGCTGGTATAGTCTCAAAGACAAATATACTCGTCATAGAGGGTTACCTATTTGAGTTACCCCATACCATCAAAACTATTGCAAAAGCCTGCGAGGAAGCTCGTAAAAATGGTGCACTTGTTGCTGTAACAGCATCTGATGTTTCATGCATCGAGAGATGTTATGATGATTTTTGGTAAGCCCCTGTAACTTTTGTAAGGCTTCATTTTGAGCTCCATTATGAATTTTGGTTGGGTTCCAAAATCATTCTACCTCAATTTAGCACAAATGTGGCCTGCTATTTTTTAGAGCCTTCCACCAGATTGAAACATTAAGATGGATGTGCTTTTTATGCTTGATTTATCCTTGGATGATCCAAGTCGCACAATCTACAGAGGATCCAAATACTCTCTATCATCAGTTCCTTTCTTTCTCTGGTTATTAGAAGCACCTGTTTCTTTCTATTTTCTTTTTCTTTTCATTTCCTGATCTTTATTCTCCTAATTCTTGGTGGGATTTTACCAGTTTGGGAACCAATTATTTTTGAGAAAAATTGATTTGCCATCTGGAATTATGTTTTTAGCTAATCTTACGAAGCATATCAGAGTTCTTAGGATGCATTGGTGATGGCAGATGATTCTCCTAATCTTGTCATCAACCAACATTTGTGATGCCTTCCTAGTTTTTGTTTTTTCACTGAATTCTTTAGCATAATAAGCCACTTCTAGGCAATTAGCAAAAGGAACGAGTCATTTTCTTGTGTCAAATTTTTTTTGCCATTCATTAATACACCTTTGCCTTCACCATTATAAAGCCTACCTTTATCTAGTTCTCTGATTTCTGTCTTACTGAGTGAATTTTTGCAATGACATCTGAGCTTCTATATTCTTTGCACACTGATATTTTTTTTCCAAACTTACACTTCCAAGTTCATCTTTCTAGGGAAATCATAGGGAATTATACAGACATTGTATTCGCCAACAGCAATGAAGCAAGAGCCTTTTGTGACTTTTCTTCTAGAGATAGCCCAATGTCAGCTGCTAGGTACTTGAGTCATTTTGTACCTCTGGTCTCTGTGACGGATGGTCCACGAGGCTCATTTATTGGTGTAAAAGGTGAAGCAATCTACATACCCCCATCTCCATGCATACCGGTGGACACTTGTGGAGCAGGTGATGCATATGCATCAGGCATATTGTATGGTATTCTTAGAGGGACCTCCGATTTGAAAGGTATGGGAATGCTGGCTTCTTGTGTAGCAGCAGTCGTGGTTGGACAGCAGGGTACTCGCCTACGGGTTCAAGATGCCTGCAGATTGGCAGAGTCTTTCACCTTTCATCTTGAGAGCTCAAATGCTCTCTCTGATGTCAGTTCGGATCATATCTCCAGCTTATGACTTATCTTCCACTTCAGTTCATATCAGACGATACTTGGTCAACTTTATAAACCTCGCAGGATGATTAAAAAAATTCATACTCAGGTACTATAGATTTTTGCTTTCTTGTTCATGTAACTTTCTAATTGTTTCAATTAAAAGAAACAATTAGTGATTTATTAGTGATTGAGTTTCAAACAAGGCCTAGATCCAGCTGGGATTTAGTAGTGATCGAGTTCCTTTTCCCAATCTCATGTCTTTGCAGTTTGATGCACTTGTAGATGATCTCCCTTCCTGGTTTGGTTGCATTAGCTATTTACAGAAGAGTGTTAGCTGCAGGATCAAGCTGGGAAGAACATAGAGAAACCAGAAGGAAAGCCATTGATCATGACAAGGACACCTTCGGAGGATGCTCGCTGTAATGATACGTTCCATAGATTTCAAGCTTCCAATTTCGATGGTTCTTTGCCAGTATTGTGTAAAGATACGGGCTAGACTATTTAACTGGGCAAAAAGATTTAGTGTGAGAGAAAGGTTGGAATTGTATGTTGTCCAACTCAGACAGAATCCGTCTGATGGGGGATTATTGCTAAATGTGGTAAAAGGTTTAGCCATTTGGTTTGGTGCAACTGTGTTTCAGACATCAGTGAGGCTCTTAATGACAATAAGGCTCCTATGCATATGCCACAAGCTGCTGTTAATGGTACTTCACGCATTGATTTATGTCAAGAACCTGTTACTAATCTTGCAGTAGAATCGCTTAATCTAAATAAAATAAAGATCAAATACCTCAATAGTAATAATAATCACAATATATGTACATCATATTGATCATCTATATACATCATCGTATATGATTATTAGATAATAATAATAATTAATTATTATTTAATTAATTATATGTAGTATTTTGAAAATTCTATAATAAAATGCCCCACATTATAGAAAATCTCATATGCGGCTAGGAAACCATAGCCATTAGGGATTCTCCTGTGATTAGGAATCTTCTGCAACTAGGAAACCTTGGTTGCAGGGCATTATGGGCGGCTAAGAAACCTTGGTTGCCAGCTTGCCCCATGTAGCCAGGAATCCTAGTCGTTAGGGTCTCCTAGGCGGCTAGGAAACCTTAATCGCTAGGGGTTCCCTTTGAAACCAGGAAACCTTGGTTGTAGGGGTTCTGCCCTACCCAGGCTGAGAGTAGCATGGCTGTTCTCGATTTGCTGTAGGTGGCCAGATCGAAAGCACCCTTTAATAGAGAAAAAGAGTGTAGTCCAGATATAAAAATCACGACAAAAAATACAGTAATTGCCCAAAAATAATTTTACGTGATTCAACACAACACACATAGTTTAAAAACTAATCATTGGACGAACACCCTAGCATTGATACCACTGTTGAGAAATCTAGGACAACATCATATTTGTAATGGAAGAATATAAAACAAAAATATGAGATTTTCATAGAAAATAGTTTTTCGACTACGCGTATATAAAAGATATATTACTTAATAAGATTATATATTCTTGAAAACCTATAGATATATGAGAGAGATGAGAGAGGATGAATGAGATCAACTGTTCTCATTTTTAACTGTGTTTAACACGACAGATGCGTCGAATACGCTTCTCAAATCATTGTATGATCCTTCTCTCCACACGCATCATGTGATCAAGAAGAGATCGACCTTTTTTTGCTATCCACATGCCCCAAACCATTTGGCTCAATATGTATGTAGATGCTCGAGTCCAAATATTTATGGGGATATTACTATTTATAATTTTTTATTTATAATTTATTTTAAAAAATAATAATTTTAATTATCTCAAATCGATGGAACGTGTGAGGTCGGATGGCATGAAGCGATGTTGATATCGATGATGATGATATTAGGGAGCAACATCCACAGCGAAGATAAAATAGAAGATTATTAAGAAAAATAAAATAATATTTTATTATTTTTTAAAGATTTATCGGCATGAGATTATCAATAATAAAAAAGGACATCTTCTTTATGCTCTCTTGTGTCCGTCTCTCCATTGTTGTTCGGCGACGGTGACATAAAAAGTTACTCCTTTTTTCTTTGATACGATAGAAGAAAGGAACCCTAGAGTGATAGGAGGAAAGGGTGTCACCGCCGTTGCCCGATCCGATCATCATCGGAGGAGGAGGTCCTGTCGCCGGCGGCGGACCGCGCAGCACGGTTTGACTCCCCTTCACCCCGACCTGCAAGATGGTGTCGGCCAGTCGGGAAATGGCGGTGTACTGCTTCGATACCCTCGTCGCCCACTACAACAGCGAGCACGTGCCCCCCCCGGCGTTCGAGGAAGGGCAGCAGTAAGGATCGTTAGCTTCTGATGATGCGAGATTGCTCCGACGGAAGGATTGTTCTCTTTTTTGTGTCGGCCGTATTAGATTTTGAGCTTTCTTGCTTCTTTGAGTATGTGAGCAATTGGTTACTGATCCAAATATTTGCTTTGCTTGATTCGATTCGATCTCGAGAAATGCACTTCGATTCTTATCCTATGTCTCTTTAACTATACGGGAGGAAGAAAAAAGAAAGAATGATGAGTCATGGGTACTCTTTGAAGGCCATCGCGGCAGCATCTTGATCTTCGTCAAGTTTGCATTTTTTTTCTTCCAATCGTAGTTGTATCTGATGAGGTTTCCGTTTGGGTTAGATCTATATATACCATATACTGCGACTCCTCTTTGGTCTCCTCTTCGGTCCTTACAACGCCTGAAGCTTTTGTCTTTCAGATAAAATCTTAACATGGTACCGCAGGCTGTGGATTCCAATATCCTCCCCATGGTGCTCTTTCTATTAATCTCTTTGCAGGGATTTAATGCCCTTTTTCTCAAGCCAAAAAGGGCTTCATATCGGAGGTGGAATTATGCTGCTTCTTGGACCTTCATATAATTGTTTAACCCTTTTGGTTTGAGATATGTGGACGCACTGGAAATATAGTTCTTCGGATATTTTTCATGTGGGATTTAAGGCTTTTCGTCTAAAATATGTCTTGTTTGTCTGGAGTCTAAAATCTATTTGATTAGATACTGAACTTTGTAATTAAAATTATGGTTATCTGCTTATCTTGGTTCGAAAATATATGGTTTGGGAGAAGAGAGGGGTTATTTCTGTAGCTGCAAGGTATATAATGGGCAATTATCTCACAACAAATTTGCTGCCTCCTAACTCTCCTTTTACTATCATAGCCTACTGCTTAAGACTGTAGCATAGTGAACTGATGCCCCACTGTGTATGACCATGTTTGACTCATGTGGCCTTTTACTATCATATTTCTTCCACTAGCCTTTTCCTTGAATTTTTCTCTCCCACTTCAGAATTTATTGCTGATTTTGCCTTTTTCTTTTCCCTGTTGTGCATTCAGATGAAGTAATGATGTCAAACAAACTTTCTATTTTAGGATAGAGCACTTTTAAGTGAAATAGACACTATCACTTACCGTAGTAAAACAAATGATACTTGAAGTATGTCTTGCAGCCTAAAGATTATCTTTGTTTTCAGATGGTTTGCTTTTTCCCCTATTAAACAATCCTAATTGTATGATTCAAGTTTTTGTTGTGTTAGAGATATCTGAAAATATGTTCTTATTAGATAATCTATACTCTCCACATGGTAGCCTAATTTAGTCTCACATCGGATGTAAGATGATAATTAAGTTTGTTTATAGGCTATCAATTTAATGGGATGGGTTGGTTTGTAAGAAATGACATCAAACTAGAGCTAGTATTTGATGTGGTCAGGGGTCCAATGAGGTAAGGATTAGCCGTGGACAAATCACAATATTCTTCACTTTAGAATGATTTCTCTTTGTTTCTTTCATCCCTGATTTAGAGGTCCTTTATCTCGTTGGTAAAGGATTATTGGTTGTTAAACATCTACACAATACATTTTGGAGCTTTGGAAAGCGATTGTTCTCTGAATTTGGTTTTTGTAGATCGGATTTTATCAAATAGCTGAAGTTCCTTGTGTTATTCCATGCTAGTCACTAATTTGTTTTCCACCCCCTTAGTTTTGTGCTGCTTGTCAGTATATGATATGCATGGCAGAGTTTTTATGCTTAAGAGGGTGCACAAATCTCCTGTTCCTTATGCATTTGGCTCATATCTTTAACAAAAGAGAGCACAGCTACTCAGTCATCACGAAGAGATAGTGCTAGTTCTCCAGAGAAATTTGCAGGCTTGGACTATAGCCATCACTTGTGATATAAGAAATCTAAACATTCAATATGCATTGCTTATGTGGCTGAAATGTACAGAGGGATCAGATGTGTTTTCAAATTTTCCCATCCCAGTTCACTAAGATCTCTGCTCCTTGTAGGATCTACATAACCCTTACCATAACCATAAAGAACCAAATTTTAACCAGGACCTTGCGCTGAACTTTTTTGGATCAAGTAAGACCTTTATGTTTGTTTTTTGAACTGATTCATTCGGAGAGGTTGTGGACTTTGCTTGATATCATTTGTCACTATTGAAATGTTACAACCTGTCTTGATAAAATAACTAGCCCATTAATTTTATTGAGCCTAAACTGCTGGCCCAAAATATTTAAACCCAAGTTAACGGTAGTAGACTATCAAACTTTTGTGAGATCATCAAAAACCTTCTCCCACATTGTTCTGGGACTAAACCCAGCTGTTACATAAAACATTTGATGCTTCTACATCTGTGTGTGGTGTCAACTTTTACTGTCCTTTCTGTTGGTGATTCTTATGTTCTTTGCTTTTTTGTTATATTGTTTGCCTGTTTGCACCACTACCTTGTTCAATGTCTGATTGCAGTTCTTTCTACTTTGCACAATTTTATCCTTACGTTATGAATGCAATTTTCTTGTACTCTTTAGCAAGTGTCCTTTGACTAACTAGGGCATCCTATGAAATTGATCCCCTCAATGGTTTCAAGTTACTAATGATGTATGATCCTGATTGTGTACTGCAATGATCAAGTTCATGTTAGTAAACATGTATATGCATCACATCTCTTATAGGATAATACTGGATAATATTTTAATTTTTAAATGAACTCACATGATTAAATTTTCATTTCAGCCCATTATTTGTGACTTGGAAGAAAGCAGTCAATGGAGCGGAACCTTACTTGCGTGGATGTATTGGAACTCTGGAAGCCCACTGCATAATCAGGGGTTTCAGGGACTATGCTTTAACCAGGTATTTTCCATTGTTTGGTTCCGTCTGATGTTTCATATATCTCGAGTGGCAGTACCGGAACCTCAATTGTACACTGGAAGCAGATAAAAGGAGTATGCTATGAAGTATTTTGAAGGATTGCTATTTAGCACCTTTTGAATTACAACATATAAATGTGGATATGATGATATCATTCATCTATATGGGCTTTGTACTATGATATGCAGTCCGTGGTCTGAGTAATTTACGTAGAAACTTTAGCTCTTCTTACGTGTAAAAGATTATTCATTCATATCGAGCTATTGATGAAATTGTGAGCTATTGAAATTTTAGAAATTTTGATATCAAACAAACAATTGCTTTCATGCTAAAAGAGTAGAAAATGGCTGCATTGACACAGTTATCAATAGTCTGGCTAGTCTCATTGCTGTGAGGATGACAGATAATATATCAATCGACCTGGGAAAAGCTTGTGTTGTACTGTTGCAAATGTTTTGCCATTATATTTCTGATGCAATCAAACTGGCTAATGATATTGGAAACCACAATCTTTCTCGTTTTGATTTTTATTTTTATTTTTGAAAAAACAATCTAAAGTTTGAGCAAGTTCCGGCTTTAGATTTTGCACAAGAAATTATTGATTTTAACTGGCCAGGTAAACAGACAACCCATGATATGCCCGACATGCTCTACTGGATAATTCATATGAGATAGCTTAGTGGGCTCTAAGAAAATTGGAAAGAAAGTTTATAAAAGGTACTAACTCTAATAAAAGAGTTGCACTAGCAAGGAGAAAATTTTGCTCTCTTCAATGCTTTGCTGATATCTGATAGCTAATAGATTGTTTATCTTGATGCAGTGCTTTGAAGGACCATCGTTTTCCTCCAATACAAGCTAAGGAATTGCCATATTTGGAATGTACAGTGTCTATACTGACTGACTATGAATCTGCTCTCGACTACCTTGACTGGGAGGTTTGCTTGTCTTCTTCTATGTTAAACTTTTTTATCACAGTAATCACATGCGCATGCAAAATTTTCCTTTTTCCATCCATCTAGACTAAGTACTTAACAGTTTCTAGATTAATGAATATAGTTTCTTGTTCTCTTACACTAGCAGCAGCTGCGATAATTGTTCTATCTTGCAGATCGGGAAGCATGGCTTAATAATTGAATTTGCTGACCCTAATTACAACATGAGGCTCAGTGCGACATACTTGCCTGAGGTTGCTGCCCAGGAAGGTACAGCTCTTATCTTAATTTCTTCTACTCTGAGTCAATTAAAACTTACTGTCAAGGCTCCAGAGTTTGGCCAAGTTGGTCATGTTATCCTTTGTTACCTCGTGAAACCAGAAAACTAAGACATGGTGCCTATATTGGTAAGAAGAGGTGCTTGAAGTAAAAATTTCACCATGCCTGCATCTTTTAGTTTTCGTGGAAATTTCACCATAATATCATTTGATCTGATGACGAGTCAAATTTCTAAATGACGTCATGAAGCTTATTGTGCTTTCTTTTTCTTTCTCTGGGGGAGCCACAGGTTGGACGAAGATAGAAACGATTGATTCACTGATGAGGAAAGCAGGTTTCAACGGCACGATAAATGAGTCACTCCGCAAGCGACTTCATGTTACCCGCTACCGGAGCACCCTCTACACCATGCATTACAGTGACTATGCCTCCTATGTCAAGATGATCAGAGGGGCAGCCCCTGCAATTAACGGGGCCAAACCCAACTATTGATTCACCTCAGCAGCTGCACTGATGGAGCTGCAAAAGGTACCATTAGACCCTCCCTAATTAAACTTGGTCGGGTGGGGATTATTTGCCTTCAATTTCGCCATTCCTACTGTATGTTTTCTCGGACTCATTCGATAAAAGAAAAAGACAAAAAAAGAAAAAGGAGGATATCGAGACAGTGATCTTGAAACTTCATTTCATGGCTCAGCAATGCTACGTGGTATATGTGAGTATACATGTATTAACTAATCATTGTTGCTTTTGCTTTTGTCTGAGATATAGATATAAATGACATTGATTTGCATCGATTACACTGTACTATCCTATTATATATATTTTTTATGTATGATTCAAATGCTATCCTTCAATTTATTATTATTATTATTATTAGTATTATTATTATTATTATTATCAATATAAGTATAATAAAAAAAAGTAATCAATTTTGAAATATATTAATTTACTAAATAAAATGACAGGTTTCTTGTATGATATTTGATACTTGTATATAGATATAAATATCTATCCAAAAGAAACACACGTAGGTATCATGTTAAAAATTTATACACAAATTTTCATATGTCATCGTTTTTATTTCTATTGACATAGGTTTTCATTTATTCATTTTCTTATTCATCACTTGGGTGGGGTATTAGTGTCATTGCTTACAAAATAGGGTATACTTTGAGTGATAAATTAATAAGTATAAGGCTCAAATCAGTTAGTAACATTTCAAAATTATATGTATAAAATATTTAATGGTAAATACATATAACTTTTTTTAGTACGATACTATAACATAAAATATACAAAATAAAGAGGTAAAATTTTTGAGTTGAAGTAATGCAAAAACATATATGTGCGAGAGAAGAAGCATAACACGTTTGCGAATTTCAACATCGTATGTCATAATATATATATATATATATATATATATATATATATATATGCACTCTCTCATATTATACATTGTAATATATCCGTGCATTCTTATATTGTACTGTCAAGATATAAAATTTCAATTTGTGTATTTTCACATCGTTCATCATAAAAAAATACGTATATTTTTATATGCATATCATCATATATATATTATATATATATATATATATATATAATAATAATAATAATAATAATAATTTTTGAGTACCCTTCATCAAATGTTTCAACTTAAGCTGAGAGGTCCAAACTCATCAAATTGGCTCAACTTAATAGGACTACCAGCGCCCCTCCCTCTCCGCGCTTTCGCCGCCTCCGCCACGACCCTCTGGTCTCTCTACGCCACTCCACGCCTACGCGGCCACCATCCTGTCTCAGACGTCTACCGTCCGCCGCGACCTCTCCTTAGAGCCAGCTTCTTACTCCCGGTTATCTCGGAAGGTCTTGCGGCTCGGTTCTGTTTGGTTTCTCCTTCGGGTGCTTCTCTTGGCACTCACCACTGAGCCTGTAGCTGCCGGCGGACACCTTCAAGCACCGTCAGATGCAAAGGCGGATGTAGAGAACTGCGTCCTTTCAAGTCCGGATCTGTTGCCATCTTCTTATCCTTTTAAGAACTCCATGAATTACTGCTCTCTGGCCGTTTCCGGACGCAGTTCGACCTCAATCCGCAAAAGATTGCGCCTTCCGCGCGGAATCCCGGGCTTGCCCTGTTTATCCACCAGTGAAGCCCTTGATCTTCCCGAAGAAAGCTTCGACTCGGTTTTTTATACGCTCCCTTCACCTCGATATCCAAGATTTCGTTCGCCCCTTCCGTGCTTCTGGGCTCTTCCCGAGGATGCGCCTCGTCTTGGCTGTGAAGGTAGCTCCAACCGAGAGCGCTGGGAGTTCACTCGAGCGTGGGTACGAGGGCGAATGCAAGAATGTGCCAAAGCCGGGAACTTGACGGATTCTCTCAACTTTCTGCGGCTCCTCGTACCCAGTATTCTTGATTACAATGGACTTCTCTACCGCTATCTCAGATCAGGTCATGTTTCTGTAGACGCGTTGGCTAATCTTTTTGCAGAGATGAAAAGATTTGGACCGTGTCCGAACGTTTGGACGTTCAACATACTCTTCAATGGATTGTGCGCATTAGGCTATTTGGAAGATGCCTTCTATGTGCTTGAAGAAATGTGGAGCCATAGGTTTGTTCCGTCTTTCATGTCATTGAGGAAACTGATGAAGAAATCGTTAGCTTCAGGTAGCCTCGAACTTTCTCTGCAAGTATTAAGGCTCATGTTGAATTTAAACTATTTGCCAACGTTACAAGATGTGAGTAACTTGATAATTAACCTCATCAGAAGCAACAAAATTTGTCAAGCTTATCAAGCTTTCTCAATACTATTGGGAAAGGGTTTTGTCCCAAATGTCTATGCCTGCAATTCAATTCTTTTTTACTTAAGCAAGTCCTATCGGAGCGATATGGCTTTATCACTCTTTTATTGTCTGAGAAAGAAGGGATTCAGTCCAAACATATACTCCTATACGGCTGTGATTCTTGGATTTAGCAAGCAAGGGTTGTGGAATGAAGCATATTGTTTTCTGAAGCTGATGCGGAGTGAAGGATGCATGCCTACGGTTGTCACATACACTATACTTATTAAGAACCTCTGCAGAGATGGGAAGTTAAAGGAGGCATTTGGTATTCTTGAGACGATGGATAAAGAAGGATGCCCTCCTGATTTAGTCACATGTAATGTGCTACTCCATGCACTTTGTGGCCACAATGCAATAACAGAAGCCCGTAACTTCATTCAAATCATGGAAGAGAAAGGTTACCCACTTGATCAGTTCTCTTGGTGTGCTCTAGCTGGTGGTTTATTGAGAGCTGGGCTTGTAGAAAATTCAATAGATCTTCTGCAAAAAATAATTTTGGTGGGAAATCAAACTGTGGATGTTGTCACTTGGAATATCTACTTTCATAGTTTATGCTGCAACAACAATGTGAAAAAGGTGCTAGATATGGCTGAGAGTATGACTGAGAAGGGGTTTACTCCAACTACTTTTACGTGTAACATTATTCTGAAGGGACTATGTAAGGGGAAAAACACTGATGAGGCATTAGAGTTTCTAGACAGTTTTGCTCGGGGTGGAAATGGACCAGACTTGGTTTCTTTCAATACCATCCTGTCTGCAGCTTGCAAACAGGGAGACTCATCCATGATCCGAAGGGTTCTAACCAGAATGGATGTTGAAGGTTTCAATCTTGATATTGTTGGCATGACATGTTTGATGCAGTACTTCTCTAAGGCTGGCAGGTTATCAGAAAGCTTTAGGCTTGTTAAATATATGATCTTACATGGGCATCTTCCCAGTACAATCACCTGTAATGTACTTCTGCACAGCCTTTGCAAGAAAGGGTTCCTGGCACATGCATATAGAATGTTTCATGAGTTTAAGAGCATGAAGACATTCCCAGATACCACTTCGTATAATATTCTCATACATGCTTCGATTAGGAAAGCTGACTATTCCTCCATGAAGTGCTTGTTGACTGATATGTATCGCGAGGGTTTGCTGCCTGATGCCACTACATATGGATCCTTAAGCTATGGCCTCTGCAGGAAAGGTAGTATTAGCGCTGCTGTGTGTTTGGAGCCCTGGATGCTGGAGTCTGGTGTAATGCCAAATATCTCTTACTATAACACTATTTTGGGTGCTGCATTTCGAATGGGCAGATTGTGGGATGTTTTATTAATACTTGTCAAGATGGAGATCGAAGGGTTTGAACCGGATGCAATTTCGTACAAGCTTTTCAAACGTAAGATGGAAAAGGGTGGAAGAAAGGGATTTCCAAAGGCCATGAAAATCCTTAAGATCTTAATGAACAAACAAGGGACTGGACTTGGTTTGTAAAGAAAGATGAAGCAGTTGAATCCCATTGATCATTATGTTTAACAAGTGAAACACAAACACATGCAGAGGATCTCCCTAGCGACTTTTTTTTCTGTCTCCATTAAGCTGACATATGACCTGCTGCACAGGTATATGCTATTAATTTGTTGTGTATCGCATCTAACATTTCTGTGATTTCATTTGGAGTTACACTCATTCCTTTGGTCCGAAGGTCCTTTCAATTGAGGATTAAGCTGGTTGGAGAAAAGCTTCTGCTTAATCACTGGCTTCCATTTTCATCAAGGTCTGTTACTGTTCATCCTTGTATCATTATGATATAAGCTATGAACTTTCTACTTGTCTTTTTTTCTTTGTGAACTGAGGCATGCTTGATCTGATCTTATCTCATAAATATTCGCTCCATAGAAATGTACCTTGACAATTGTATTCATACATTCACAAAACATATTGTAGCACTGTACACCACATTGTCTTTTAGCTAGTTATTTGCCTCATTTTGGGCTACTTATGACCTAGTAATTTCAAATAAGTTTCAGGTATTATGTTGTCAAATCGAGATTCAATACAATGACTTATCTTATCCAGTCTCAGCATACATTGTCCTTTACCTTCACTATACCTCAGCTTACAATCAGCAGCAATTCCTATAATGTTTTTGCTCATTATTTAATCCTGGTACGCAATAGATTGAAAATAGCAAACAATCACCATGTGATTGGGATGAGGCTTTGAATAGAACCAAGAAGCACTGGTGGGTTCACGATCCTACTGTTGCTATATCCAGATTATCAGATAAAGTTGCATCCCTATTTTTTTTTTTTTGCAATACATAAGTGCATCATTTGACCAGAGATTACTTGAAAAGGTATGTTATCCAGTGTGCAGGGTTTAAAAATGTCCAATTTATATGGAATTACCTTTATAAGTTAAAAGGTTATTTCCATAAAACAATAACTTTTGGTATGCATTAATTTAAAATCTCATTTTACTCCTTAGGAATCAAATGTTAGCGAGGGTATAAATACACCCTCGGTTAGCTTTAGCCTATCTATCCTACCTGATACCTTAATTTACTATTATCATAAGCATGGTAAGAGAATACTACTTACTAGCCTAATATTGGATCATTACAAACTGAAATGCCTGCATTTTGCTTGGGAGATAAGCATGACAATTACCACCTTAAGCTTAATCCAAATCTACTAACTGCATTGACTTCATCATTACTGATTGTTTCTTATAATTAAAAGAGTGATGATATCTCTGATGTTATGTTTACATGACAGAGTGAGCATTTCTCCATCCGCGGCAGCATCATCAAACCACTCTAGACTGCTCTATTTTGGCGCCATTGCTGCTGAACCTCTTGAAGGTGGAACTTTGACTGGGAGTAGAACAGATGGGTTCTAATTTGGAACAAAGCCGAAGCAAATAGAGCAGGTAGAAAAGCACTCCAAACCTATGGCTGGCGGTGAGAAATCACATGATCACGGAGGGTTACCAACCAAAATATGTTCTGTTGTGTTTATTTTTTTTGGTATGCAGAGAAAGTTGCTAAGATACGATATTTATGTTGTGGAGAGAGAGAGAGAGAGAGAATGTTCTTTTCTTAATTTATTTATTTTTATTTCATAAATATGTATGTATGTATGTGTACATGTTTATTTAAAAAAATAAAATTATGTTGCGCAATATGGTGCTTGAAACATCACATGCTAGAAAATTCTTTTAAATATCCGACACATATGGTATAATATACAGCACAAAGTATAAGAAAACCCTTCTAAAATATAATAATATAATAATATTATATTATAATATGTTTAAAAATTCATAGGAATTTTGAATCCTGGCTTGCCAAGTCTTCTACTGTGTGACATTGTCGCCACATCTGATAGTTACAACGGGCTTCAAAGTTGGGAGACCATATTTACTTGTAAAAGCTTTCTTCTGGGAATCAAAAGTCGCAGTCAAAATTCACTTCACAAGCAAAACCTTTATCTACTAAGATCACAAACAAAAGACGACTCGGTAGACAGACATGAACAAAGTAGGCAAACGGTGGACGACACTGTAACCTCAGCTGAAATGCCCAAATCGTGTGACGATCTTAAGAGGATTTATGCGAGATCAACAGACAGGTGGGGGGGGGGGGTGGGGGGGGGTGTTACAGCACAGGCCGCGTACGTACACAAGAAGGTGACTTAGGTGTCAGATTTGTTGATCAAGCTTCAATCATATAGCACACAATTGGTGAAGTTCATGCATCGAATCCTTCGCCTGGAGGCCACAAAACAAGCATGCATGATTAGCCTTCTGGCCAGCTAAAATCCCTTTATATGTATCTCCCAAAATAATGTGTGAACGACTGATGACAACAAGAAGAAAAACGAGCCAAGTAAATGAATGACTAATGCACAGAAGAGTAACCTTGCTGATAAGGTTTGTTTTTTTACGCTAATAACAAGTGTAGCAACCTCTAAGCAGCCAGCAAGCATGCATGAGCTAAACTTTATACCTGGACGAGGTATTTCGTCATGATTGTATCTCTAGCTTTATAACTTTCTCTCATCTATTTTACGATTAGCTATGAGTCACTAAACATTGTTAGTTAGTTCTTGAACCTGGAGTTCACGTACGAGTCGGATTTGAAAAAAATTCTTCATATTCGATATCGTTATTAGAGATCTTAAATTTGAATATGAGAGGTTGCTCGTATATCTATTGGTTTGAGCCCTTTAAAACGATGTCAACATTGCCTCTGTCGAAGGTGGCTAAATTGTCGATGAATATTATCTATGTTGTGGGAGCAAAGTTATCGTCTTTAGGTGAGGGAGTCAATTTTGAAGTTGAAGTCCGCTAGAGCTTAGGCTTTTACGGTAGTTCATAGTATATATTGTATATCAAACTCTTTTAGCTCAACATATCATTTGAGTAGTTGTTTCGAGACGTCAAACTGAGATAAAACTTGATGAAATGGTTGGTTAGTAATGACTTATATAATGTGCATCTGAAAGTAGGGACAGGGCTTTCTCGTGTGAGTACTAGTACAAATGTCAGTCATTATATAGATGAGTTTCGCACCTTGGTTCCACTTAAGATGTGACCGATGTAGTAGTTAGGCCTTTGACTCCCTGTGTTGTCTTAGACTAGTATGGAGCTAATGGTGTAGAGGATTTATCAGTCTACCATAAACTTATAGAGTTCACATTGGAGATATTCTCTAACACATAATAGTGAAAGTGAGACCGTTCCTTTTCTTCCGTGTTAGTACCCATAGTTTCATAGTTCTCTCCACACTTACCATTCGGGAGTAGGATGAGAATATCTTGGACGACTAACTCATGATCTCTCTCACTAGTCAAGAGCATAGATATTTGGTACAATAGCATGGACAATCCAATCTTGAAGACACAAATTTAAAAAAAAAAAAAATTGTTTGACGAACCTTGATCTCTTAGAGAAGGATCTTAGTTTTTATTCATGAAAGGTGAATTTTTTTCACCTAGAGAGAGTTAATAGGGGATCAAGTACCACCATACCATTAAAACAGTTCAAGAGGATATGAAAACCTCCGGATTACTATATTGGAGTCATATGAGCCTAAATACCCATAGAGAGTTTGTCTTCTATATATTTTATTTTCTTCTTAGAACGTAGTAACATTTGGATCGAGGACGCATTTGTATTGGACTTTGAGCTTTAACTTATATGAAGTTATCAAAAGGGATGTCATGTATATATCTTAAAATGGATGATAGAGAATCTTGGAGTGAACATATGGCTTTATCTTATGAATCTCTAGTCGTCTTTCTTCTAGAGGGACGTATATGATATTTATATAATGATAGACATCATATATATCCATACCCCCTTGTTCTCATCATATATATTTATGTAAACGGAGTGCCTATTTGCATCATGCCTTCTCATGGGATTGAAGGTTTTATGGCTTAGTGAGATTTACATATGGTCTGAGTGCTTGCTCGAAGCCCATGGGCCAAATCCACTGATGCACTAGAGAGAGAGAGAGAGAGAAAGTGAGAACAGTTAAGGAAGGTATCAGATCATATAGCTTTACATGCAGAAGTGGTTAACAGCTAATACCGCTCTTGTAGAGGATTTGGAAAACTCAAAGAGTGGCCCAGGACCCGTTATTGATTTGCCCTAGTGAGCTAGGGCAGTCACCTCAGCTTCAATCAGAGAAAGCAAATGGTGGATGGCAGCTGCAATGTCATCAACAGCAGTCAGACTGCATCCCTCCTCCACCTGCAATCGATCACCCAACATAAAAAAGCATGAGAAGGAAATCAATCCAAACTTTCACACATCACTAATCAGTTCTCCAAAGTCAAACCACATGACTTTCTTCTTCTAAAGTCCACTTCTGCAAAGCAACATATAAATTGGGCATGAGGGAGTGCAACTTCTGCTTAACTATTTACACTTTTAAGAGTGAAGAAGATCTATCTAGCACGTTGGAATTTTGCTCAACAGTGAGAGGTGAGGTGGAGAGGCAGCAATGATGCATGTCTAATGATGTTATTCTCCTCGAGGATTCCCCTGCACTGAGAGGAGTACTACCATGTCACATCCAAGGGGCCAAGCTGGGCTCCCGGAGTTCCATTCCAACGCAGAAGAAAGGGTTCTGACAAATTACACAGGGAACCTTCAGAAAGGTGGACACAGGTAAAGGGTTTTAGATCACAAGCCAGCAGCTTTTTCCTCTCCCTTTCCAGTGGTGATGGTGAAATTTTGAAGCTACAGCAAAGGGAGGAGTACCACACGGAGAACAAGAAGAGCAAACAAAATGGTGAGCAACAGAACGAGTTATTTCATGTGTTAAAAGGCCACAAGAGGGACCATCATCAAATTGGTGATTAGTCCCTCAGGGCCTAAGGAGTACCACCCCCTTCCTCTTCCTCTTCCTCTTCCTCTCTTTTTATTTTCATTTTTCCCTTGTGACTGTGTATCTAATATGAATTCTATTTCTTTACAGAAACCCAAAAACTTGGCATGTTCTCTAGCAATGCTGGCTGGAGTTCTTGGGCTTAGAAGAGAGCATTGGAAACTTCAGCCCCCATGGGGGTTAAACAAATGGTGCAGGTACAGCAAAAGGATCCCTTGCTGGAGGATGCCAATGACATTTGCCCATGAACAGAAGAAAGTAAATGCTGGAGAATATTTGACGCTTACTTTCCTAATCAGATCACAGTTAATCCAAGAGCACTGGGGACGCACCTTGACACTGAGAGAGTAGAGCACCATGGAGTCGAGGGCAGTGACGTTGAGGTGAAGGATTGTGAGGCTAAGGTTGTGAAGCCCAGCCACCATCTTGAACAGCTGGCCGGGCCTCTTCGGCGATAGGATTCGGACGTTGGCGTGAGTCTCGATCAGTGTCACCTCGATGTCGGCCAACGCCGGCAGCTGGTTCTCCGAGGGAGGGTGGTCCTGGCCCTGGGTGGTGTGGCACCAACTGTATTGCGGGAAGGAGAAGAACTGGGCAAAGGGAGGGGAATCGACCACGTCGCTGTTGCTACCGCTGCTACCGCTGCTGCTGCTGCTGCTTCCAGCTTCCCCGATGTATGAACTCCTCTCCTGTTTCCCCGCCTGTTGCTGCAGTGTTCTCTTTTGTGCTTCCAGCGACTGGAGAAGCTGCTCTAGCTCCTTGACAAAGTCGATAGCTCCTCCAACAACGGAGGCTTGGTCGCCCTACAAGACCAAGACCAAAACCAAAACCAATGTTGACTGACTTTTGATCCTTGCGTGTGAATGAGCACTGATGAACAAGCTAAGCACTGGAATTGGGAAGCAGTCATATCACATTAATCCACCAAGCGGACCTTAGTTCGTTATGAGTGAAAACAAGCGAACTGTCTCCTCAACCATCCATCACTCGCAAACTAATCTTGGAAGATGATATTGACCTAAAACAGTTTACCCAAGCCATGCATATCATCTACAAAGAAAGAAGCTTATGCAGGTAGACAGACAGAAATCTAGTTCATGGTTGATTTAACCATCTTTATCTGAGTAAATTGGCCTTGTACTTTCTTTCTTTAACCACACGAGGACAGACAAACTCGCACTCCAGAGCATCTACAGGACGACCAGGAAGAATTCAAGCACGCCAATGAAGAGAAGAGAAACAGGAGATGGATGAGAGTCAAACCCTTTGGATGTAGGACTCCGGCATGAGCGAGCGCAGCACTGCGAGGTGCTCGTTCATCTGGCGGCGGCGGTTGCGCTCGACGGCAATGTGGGTCATCCTTTGGTTCTCTGCTTCCTCCATGTTCTTGCATGTCCTCGTCCTTCGCCGCTTCCTCTTTCCCTGTCCTACTGCTGCCGCCTCAGGCCTCGGTTCCTCCTTGGCCGCGGGGATGCCACCCACCAATCCAGAACGGGAAGGACCGATGCCAAGGGAGCCTACTGCGTCTTCGCCGCCGGCACTGCGGAAGAGGAAGCTTGAGCTCGAGGAGGGTTCAGCGTGGTGAAGGAGTGGGGAGGCCGTGATGGTGTCATAGATGAGGAAGCTGGAAAGCTCAGCAGAAGCTAACGCTTCCAGTGTCATGGTGCTCCTTGCTTCCTTTCTGACGTTGGTGTTTGTGTGTGTTTGTTAGTGCTTTCTACCCTAATTTTTCACCTCAGGCTTCCACTCCGCTTGCGCAAGTATTCAGGCTATTTAACCAACACTTCCGGCTCCCAAGAGCTAGCTGGGTAGCTCAAAGAGAGTTCTCAAAGGTCACAAAACACAACAAGCTATTTAACACCAAGGCCCAACTTTTGTTTCAGATCCCTCAGCGTTGTTGAAATGGAGGGAAGGGAAAGGTTACACGTGAGGGGTCAGGAAAGACCGAGAGCCTTTCTCTTCAAAAAGTGAGGGAAAGAGCAGCAGTCTGCCTCGCTCTCTCTCTCTCCCTCCCTCTCTCTCTCTCTCTCTCTCTCTCTCTCTCTCACACACACACACACACACATAAATCCACAGACACTGTCAACCGATGTCTTGACCCAAGGAGCCCACAGAGGACGGATGAGAACAAGCACATAGCCAACCAAAACCGGCTGGTAATTGCCTAAGCATTAACCGCAGTAGAAATCTTTGGCAGGAAGAACATAACAGGAAAGAGGAACACATGGGCGACGGACCGGGGATGATCATAGAGGATCCATAGACGCCATCCACGTTACAACCTTTGCTTCTGCATCATACACCGCAGCGTCCACTATTTCCACCGAAGGGATGCGTAGAAGAGAGGGAGCCAAATAGTACACACAGGTCATCTTTATGCCATACACATGCAACCATCACAAGGTGTTCGAGTTGTTCTGTTCTCCACCAGTGGGTGCTTCTCGTGTCCCGATGTGACTACGTAACACACGAGTTTACTCTGAATATATAAGACTGATTGCTATTAACTGGTCATTCGAGTATAATAACGCCCATTAGATGGTGATGGTTTTGGCCTTTTAGTGCTGTGAGATTCCGCACGTAGAATTGGGGGATCATATGCTCAAACCCCTATGCTGGCGCCAGCTTTATCCATTAACCCTAATCTTCTAATATAATGATGACACTATCTATGCAAGCATGATAACGTACACGGCTTTGCTGTCTCCCAATAAGTAGAGAAGGGAGAAAACAACAAAGAAGTAACACTTTCTTAACCAAACCCAAGTAGCATTCTAGTTTATAGCTAGCAATTATTACATGTGTGCACATGCTGCTACTGCCCAAAGAATTCCTTGAGAAGAATCCTGATATATATCAAACATTCAGTCAACAACTTCACGGTAAGCTATAGTTTTGCCTATATGTTGTGGTCATTTCAGAGAGTCCATGAACTTTTTTTATTCGCCTCATTTCCAACTCTTTTTCCTTCATTTCGACATGAAAAGTCTGATGGATAGTTTCAGAAACTTCAGACTAGCTAGGCCGAGAACTGAGAAGGACTAGTTAGCTGAGATAAAGTCAAATATAGAGGAAAACTCAACTAGCTCTTATCAGGTTCAGCTCTTGATCAAGTTGTCATCATATACAAATGACAATTAACATTGTAGATCTGGAGCAGAAAGATAAAGGTGTATGGCTCCTACAGCTACATGATGAGAGTGAGACAAACAAGTCTACGTCAGTGCTCACAAACCCACTGCAAGTATTAGGTTAAACATATGTATTAGGAAGCACAATGTTGAAGCTTTGGCTTCAGCTATCGAAGAAGGAGCATGTATAGGGTTGTTTGGTAGATCAAAACGACTCGGAAGAAGGTCTCTAGTACTTCCTTCTCCAGTATTCCCTCCCACAAAACGAGAGCCTTACGAACTGAGATGGTAGCCCCTGGGAGTTGCCGAGGAGCGTGGGATGTCCGCATATGTGAGACACGTACATCATGAAACGAAGCAGGTAATTCATGGACCGAGCCAGGAAAAGAATTTTAAAGATCAAATAGAGGAGGAGAAGATAGCTAGGCGGGGAGGGATACATTATACTATGGACGATGAGCAGTGGTGGGTGCAAAAGGCAAGGACAAGCATACATACGACATGGAGGTCTCAGTTTTCCAGATGGGGTGGTGCTGTGAGGCGCTGAAGGTCGTAGCAGAGAGACATCAGCAGCAGAGGAGGGAGGAAATTAGCCGCCTTGGGCCACGTTCCAACCGTGTCAGGGAATCCATGTGAAGACCACCTCGGAAACCACGTCCATTTCTCTCTCTCTCTCTCCATATTCGTGCTTTGTCTGGAGTAACGTGCAACATATAACAATTCGGGAGAGATTGTCATCGTGTTGGAAGCATCAACAACACTTTTAAAACGAGTCATCTGATCCGTAGACACTATTGAGGTCTCGTCACTGTTCTTCACGATACTTGGGAACTATTACGGATTCGACATATTTCTTTCTTATATTTTAATGATCTTTTGACCAATAATACCATCATACTCCTTTATACAAGAAAAACCCTAATATATAAAGACAACATTAAGTTCTCTTCTAAAACTCTTGTTCATCAGTCAGCAAATTGACTTTGTTATGATTCGTCATAATTATCCTTTACGATGATGATACTTAAAACGCGAAAATGACGCGATCATTGATGTAATTTCTAAGATGCGAACGAGAGAGAGCATCTCTTACGTATATTTCCCCATGCATTGCAAGTGCAGCTGTCTCGTGATTGCAAGTCAAACATGCATGCATGTACAACTAACTCTACATTAGGAAGAAATTTACGTGAAAAGGTAAACATCAACAAAGAAACGAATGGCCCATCCAATATCTTGCTGTCAGACTCAGTTAAAGGGTTTGGTTATCTATGGCATGGACGTCACAAGGTATAGCTGAAAACAATCGTCGAGTACACTTGGTGACTTCCCATCCAACTCTCCAACCCAATGCTTTAAATTGGTTTGGTCTCTTCTTCGACCGTATCACCAGTGAGTAAGAGCTAAATGATCTTAGGTGAACCAGAAACAAACAGTGGATTATATGACAAGTATTGAAGCCGTCGTACTTAGTCACAATGGACCCATTCTTCCTGCAACAAGGACGTGCAATAATACATACTGTAACGAGTGCAAGCAGTCCCTAGAGCAGCTGCAGCTGTAGCTGTTGATAAGGATGTAACCTTTGACACCATAACATGAAGATGCCCGGACCAAGACACGCCAACGAAGACTCACGTACTTAATCAGACATTGATGGTTGCCATGTTTTGGACTTTACTGATGCGTCTTTGTGGCCGCTGTTTTCTGCTGCCGCCATGCATGTTTTATTCCTGTGTGTGAGAACTGCTCGCCACTCTCCCCTCTCTCCCTTCGGTAGATCTTGCTGCGGTTGTAAATCGCAGGGATATACAACTACAAACCGCATGCAAAAATACATTTTGTCGTGGATAGAACATATCAAAGTAATTGAATGGTTTGCATGCGCTACAATGACACTGATTACATGCAGATGGCAGTTCATATGTCGACCACACGCCCCAACAAAGTCGATACACGTGAATGGTGTACGTAGGAGAGAGAAGTTGCCCGGAAGGCCATCCCCTATTCCAACCCTCTTCTCTTTCCCTGTTCATTCTAGACACTTGTCCATAGATCGATACTGTACCTACTGGGAACGATGTCTACCTTCTTAGGCGCTCCAGCTCCTTTGTGTTCATCTGGAGATCGAATCGGGAAAGCGTTTTAGTTCTTCACACTGCTTGAGTGTGCCACTTGAATCGGTACGTTCATAATCCTGGTGACTCCGTGATGAGCTGAACTGCGCGATGCAGTAAATTGCTAGCAGCCAAAAAATCTGGAATATAGCATCAGCTAACGCAGATGCATATTAAGTGCTCACGGGCGCTCATATCTGAATCGAGATGATGAAGGCATCGTGTTTGGTTCTTGCTGAGCTTCGCGAGCGTGCTTCTTGCTGGGACTACTGAAGAGCGAAGCTTTGGGACTGCAACTGGGATCTGATCCACGAATAGGAATTACCGTGGGCGCCCTGGAATTGGATTCCCATCCTCCTTGAGTCCTTGTCCTCACACTCACGCAGATGATCGAAGGATGGGCTTTACAGATGGATGCATCCCACACCATTAGGAAGCAGCCGCTATATACAAACATTGATCTAATAATATGGAGTACGATCTGGGGCTCCAAGGGTACGGACGCCTGAATGATATCGCTCCCATGCACCGTACAGGCTATCAACGTAAGAATACTATTCGCTAGCTGTAACTCACGGCATCGCCAGCTGCTTGGCATCCTCGCTTCAGAACATCGTATAATTCGTGCATCGGACGTTGCAGATGTTGATTTGGGAAAGTACGTTGGGCAATAATTCAGTCTCTCTCTCTCTCTCTCTCTCTCTCTGTCTCTCTATAATTTATATCCTTCTTTTCTTTGAGAAGGAAATTTAAAGATATAATAGATTTGTAATCAGAAAATTTTATTTTCTCTTCGCATTTGTGTGAATCACAACCTCTTTATTTTTTTTAATGCTCAATTCAGATTATTTTGTGCTGACACTATAAAGCTTGTTCTACTCTCCCGGATTTTGATAAAAAGATCTAACCCATTGTAAATAAAATATCTGCAAAATGATATGGTGATTATTTGATATCTTGGTCGAATGGATGTCATATATGATATTTATAATTAAGTGAGTTACCTTCTTCAAAAAAAATCATACATCATATAGTCTATACAAATCTTATTCCTTTTAGTTTATAATGAAAATTAAAAAATAATAATATAAAGAAAGATGTAATGCTCCATCGGTTCCAAACCGAGAACATCCAAGTCTTTGCATCACAAAAAATGAAACCTGAACAAGGCAAGCAAAGCTTGGAGAGGAAATTGACGACGAGTGCAAGAAGGACATCATTATTAGACCACTGTACTTTTTTACTGACCAGAGAAACATGAGGGCGAAGATCCAGAATGGCTCATGAACATGAACGAGAGCTCACTTGTCACTCCACACTGGCGAAAAAATGGGTACTTCCTTCCCCTCTTCCCTTGTAAATCCCAACAAGAAAATCAACACAGCAAAACCCAAGGAAATGACCTGTTCTTCCTGCGAGAATTTATGTTCAAATTTTATCTTCTTGCAGCCCCCAAACCATTATCACTGCGAGTCCTCGAGGACTCAGAAAGCAGTAGAATCAAAAGTACAGCTTCCTTTTCAATAGGCACCAACATAAAGCTCCAGAATTCTTCTGTTCACTCCAAGAAGACCACACACGGAGAGGGGAAAGAGGGAAAGAAAGAGTGGAAACAGCTGGAGTGTGTGTGTGTGTGTGTGTGTGTGTGTGTGTGTGTGTGTACAAG